ATGTTTCTAATATAATAATGGTATTTCGGACTCATTTATTCACATTTATACAAATACACAAACAAACATATCCACTTTCATGTTTATTCTTGTCAATTAGAACTGGGCACGTAGTTTAAAGTCCTTTATGAACACTTTATTAATATAGTTGTTAAGACTAATCGTATCTAGAGGTATTATTGTGAAATCGTTCTAAATTAAAGACCTATTATAGCTTACATCATATTAGTTTCGAGTCTAAAAAGTAATATTTTAAGTGCCTAGGATAGACATAAAATCCATCAACTGAAACACGAAACAGATAACTTTTTAAATTACATAACATAACATCACGCCTTTTTATCCCCGAAGACGCAGAGGTGCACATTTCGGCACTTAATGCCACTGTACAATGTAACACCCACTGTTCACTATTTATGTTATGAGTGCCATGTAATAGGAGGTTTGCTATTGCCATATACCGGGCACATTTCCAGACTCCGTGACTACTGACTACTGAGATTTTTAAAAACCCAGTAATACTTGGCCCGACCCGGGAATCGAACCCGAGACCCCTTGCCCAGCAGTCGCATCTGCGACCTCTCGGCCAACGAGGCAGTCTTTTTTAATTTACATTTCTTATTTTAACTTTAAATACAAAAAAAGACTACAATACACTGCCACATCTAGTGGACCTATAAAACCATATCTCTAGTGATGCAACTAACAAATATCGACATCTAATATTTTATGCCATGGAACCCGCACAGCGCGTAGTGACGTGCCACAATATCGAGGTTTTTTTCATTAATATTTGTCAGTAAACTTAGGCATCACTTCACTTTATTTTATTCTGTTTAATATGCGAAAAATTTGAGATGGATAGGTTTGTGGTTTCGTGGGCAAAATGGTTTATGTTTTTGGCGCGATAAAGAAACGAAGGAGGAAAGTTCGTGTCACTTTTCATTTTGTGTAAGTCAGTAAGTTCGAATATTGGGTGCGGATATTGATTGAATCTATAATGCTGTGAAAACCTTTGTTCTGTGGTATCTGGTATTATTATTTCGTAATATGACGATATTTGAGAGGAAATGACATAAAAATGAGGGTGTGTCTGTGTATTCGACAAAACAGTTGAATAAAATAGATGCCTAATATCAAAACTTTAGGTTTAAAACAATTCTAGGGATAGGGATACCTCGAAATCTGTAAAAATGTCCATGATATGGTTTAAACTTCTTAAGATCCAAGTCAGTGTCAACAGCAACTATAAAAAAAATTACTACATTAAAATATTTCCCCTATATGTTTCAATGACACAATAAGCGTAGTTTAATTTAATTAATTTAAGTAGACACAAAAACCACCTGTTACAAACAATAAACCAATATTAAAACCATGAAATAAATTAATAAAACAATCACTATTAACGATTGCTTTATCGCAAAACGAGTGTGAAACTATCGATATAACCGAAAACTTGTTTAATTAATTATTGAGCAGACGAAGCGAGCCAATTAGTGTTGAGCCACCCAATTATCGATAAAGTTGATTAAATAAACTAATATTAAATCTGTGTTGTACGAGTCGCGGTTGTGAGTTATGTAGGAGGAATAGTGATGGGGTAGTGTCGAAATAGACTATCGATAAAGTGGAAATTAGAGACTTTACTGTGGAAGTTTTTTTAATAGATGGTGGACAGAAGAGTCGGTTTCATTTAGTTTGAATGTTTGTAGTTAATTGTATAACTAAAATCTAATACTTTGTGCCAAAGACTATAACTATGATCTATTACAATGTTTATAACAAGATAAACCAATAAAGTCAAACATTGAGCCTAGTTATAAACTTTAATAAAATTACAATTATTTTTACGCTACCTCTACTGAAAAATGAACACAAAATCTCACATTCACCAGTAGTAAAGACGAAAATATATTTCCTTCTCTTTTATCATATAGAATGAAATAAATAAATAATACAAGCACATAACAAAAGTTAGGCACAACCATAGGTTGAGAAAGTTTAGTCCAATTTCAGTTTGTAACTAGCGGTAAGTTAGGATTTCCAAAATAAGTTTTGCTTAACGAAACACGAGACGTATTTTAACCTAGGCTAGAATAAACTAATGATATTATAAGTATATTAAGTATAATATGACGTCTGATGTTTCTCCAAAGGCTAAGCAGATATGTAATGACTAACTTCTGCGGTTTTGTCCACGATCCTATGGGATAAAAATTATGTATGTATGTATTATTCTAGACCATAACCTATGTCGCAGAGAACCTAACGGGTAACCGGGGCTGCGACTCGACGTGCAGGAGAAGGAACGGGGTGGTATTTAGTCAGTAAGAGTCTGACACTCCCTCTCGCCTCACTCAGGCGGGAGCAGTCATTCGATGATTTTCTCCCCTTAAAAAAAAAGACCATAACCTATTCCTGTTCCAAATTTCAACCCCGACTCATTCAGCCGTTTTTATGTGATTGTGTGACAAACGATTAAACTGCAGCCACTTTTGTCATTACTTTTTTAAGGGACAAGCCCGCCACAACCTGCCAAAACCGCTGCAATTCTTGTAAGCCAGAATCAATAGCAGATACAATCATGAAAACACCGGAACACTGAAGTACGGCGCGTCCCAGTTGTTTGTCATTAGTTACCAATATTTTAAGTTAACACTTACAAATATCATTTGATTTTGACCCATAACAACATTCAGAAAGTCAACTTTCACTTTAATTGACCCACAATTTCAATTTGACATTTAATGCAAATAATTACATAAACTTATTGGGTCAAATACATATTATTTTGACAATGAGAACAAAAAAATTTAGGTCAAATAAAAAATATTGTATGACCAACTATACACACCACCACATACTACGTTATTCTACAAAAATGAAACAATAACAATAGCTCTCCCATCCTTAATTTTAACACAAACAAAACACAACAAATCCTTGTACTGGCCGCGATACGAACAAAAACAAAAATAAAAAACGATTTTCGGGTCAGTAAGTGGGAGCTACGAATATTTCTTTGGCATTCCAGTATTACCCAGTACATAGACCTATATATACCGGACATTCCAATGTTACCCAGTAGATATAACTATGTATACATGATCTGTTATTAATTGGAAAGACCTGGGGAATGGCGGAGCGTTATTGGATTTTTTTTAATCCTTTCACAGACCGATTGGATTAAAAGTATCGATATTTATTTTGCTGTTTCAGAAATGTTACAAAGTATCTTGTTATCTTTATTTTTTGTTTGCCGTCTAACCTAGTCTTCTGTTACGTGTGTAGTTAAAATATATATTTCATGTTCAATAAACATCACAGTTAATATTAAAGGTAAGTCAAAAGAGATGTAATGTAGATTCTGAAATCATTTTCGATTTCCATATAAAGAAATAAAAGAAGCCTCAAATTATTTCTGATGGATATTTTTAGTTTTCCTGCTGACTTTTACTAACGCAAATACAGAAACCATACGTTTTCGGTACGGTATATAATTATAATGTTTTTATTGCAAACTACTAGCGATATAGAAGCGACTTTTTAGTAAATGTTGTATTTATCTACACTAATAGTACAATGAGGAAAGATTTGATTTTTTTTGTTTGCTTGTCTAAAATACTGGAGAAGCAGAACTACTCAACGAATTTAGAAAAAAAATGTAGTAGATTTTTTTTCTAACATCGAACTTTAATTTACAACGCCTCAGAAACGTAGTTTCAGTACTCCTTCAGTAACAACGTAGCTAGAATTGTGTAATGTTTTCGAAGGCCAGTCTCTGTAGATGTGCAGTTACTGTGTTTATCGAGACCGTTCCTATTTCCGACACGTTTCAATTAACTAACTACCTTGAGGTGAGCATAGTGCATCGTTTGTCTAAAGTTCGCTACTACAATGGATGCCAAGAATATAGTCTTAAGTTCTATTGAGAGTTTAAGTATTTGGATGTTGTGATTGCAAGATCGGTCTATAGTTATCATGATTTTAGAACGTGTAATTCATTTTATTTTTTCTCTCTTTTGAAGACTTTAGGTAACAATTCAATTGGAAATTCTCAGCAGCTTTGACAACATTTTGACCCATTAAATAGAGAAGTCATACTATAACTTGAAAATAAATGTAGATTTAACATTGACTTTCAATTTCAGAAAAGATGTCTTTTCTCTAGAAAACCTTATTTTCTTTCTAGACTGAAATATAAGTATGGCACTACAATAGCCTACAATTTTGTCTAGAAGCTTCCTCAGTATTCTGTAAACTAAATTTTCAGAAATAGTTTCATCACTAGCATACTGAAAGATGCTCTATTCCCACCGGATTCCGTAGAGGTGTGCTGTCGACATATCGACATCTTTACTTCGATACTGGTCAGTCCCTAGTGGTAGTGTTGCGATTTGCAGCTGCTTTACTTTTATTTTATCGAAAAAGTTTTATGTTTGTTTTAAGACATAAACTAATATGACTTTTATTTGTGGAAAGACATTTGTGTTTGTAATTAAATGTGTCAAACACAAACAAAACTGTTTCTTTGTAAGCGCTGCCTAGTAAAGAAACATAAATGTATATTCATAGTATTTATTCTATATTTATTTAAAATTCCTATAAAGTTACATTTTTAAATACTGCAAAATAAAAAATAATATTTAAAAATATAAAAATAGGAATCGACCAGTAGTGGGAGCATGGTCCAAGCTACCGGTGGTTAGGGCTCCAGAGACAGAAACCTCCTCACAATGCGCGCCGTTTCAAGGAGAACTACCTTCTGAGTCAAGCATCAAGAATCAAGTATTTATCCTTATTGTTACTAAATTGTGGAAAGAAAAAAAGTATTACTTGATTAATATTTTGATCTAATTTTTACACGCTAAGCCCTTGAAAAATATCACATTTATGCTTCTAAAACTCCTATGGTATTACCATGAAAAAGTACATTTTGAGTCTCACCAAAAACATCCTAATATAGAACAGATTAAATAAAATAATTGACTCCTCACCTTTATCTCCTTTCAGCTCAACATTGCCTCTGAACCAGACGATCCTGGCAGCAGGCTTGGCGTTTTTCACCAGGCACTCCAGGGACACCTCCTCGCCTTCCTTCACCTCCAGCTTGGAGTTAGCTGGGTGATTCGTGATCTCCACTGCGTTTGGTGGTGCTGTAGACAAAGGAAAATGTGATTTAGTTAATATAGTATAAGGGTTGGTTTTTATTTAATCGTAGGGACAATATACCTCTAGAGAATCAGTGACTATTGATTTCTAGAATGGTATAATACCTTTATGTTGATATAAAGACACCAGCTGGTGATTTTCAACTTTATTCTCTTAATATAAAGTCGAAAATGCAACACCAAAACATATTTTTTAACTCAAGGCCGAATTTCAACGAAACTTCAACAATTCTTTATGAACCTACAATATTAAATACAGCAGTTAACTAAGCAACCATTTAACAAACGATACAGTGATAGATTAAAGCCTGTCTGTGTTTCTACAATAAAACTAGCAGAAACACAATTTCCTAGTTCTTATTGTGTTTGTTTAAACAAAGAAACTAGTTCAACTGTTTTGTTTCGTTTTATTTTTTTAACAGAGTGAAACCGAAGGTGGTAACTATCGGAGCCGCGGACGACTTGACGGGATGCCGGGGCTCCGGTTCGAAGTGCAGGGTGGTTTTTAGTCAGTAAGAGTCTGACACTGCCTCGCCTCACCCAGGCGGGAGCAGTCATTGGATGATGTTCCACCCTCAAAAAACAAAATGGTGGAAACTGTCTTGCCTTTTAACATATGCGTGCTAATGATGAGCATTTGATTCCTGAGTCAATTATTAATGATGACAAAACATCGTTGATTATACCTCTAATAATATTATCTGTTGAGAAGTAAGGCTTTTTTAAGGGGGGGGGGGGAATCATCGAATGACTGCCCGCCTGGGTGAGGCGGGAGGAAGTGTTAGACTCTTACTGACTAAAAACCACCCCGTTCCTTCTCCTGCACGTCGAGCCGGAGCCCCGGTTACCCGTTAGGTTCTCCGCGACAGGAGAAATAAGTCTGGATGTTTGAAAATATATGTAATAAAAGTGAAAAATATGTCTGTAAGTTGATTTTATTTTTGTGTCTGGAAAATCTCAGAACACAACTAATTTCTAATTTAAATTTTAAAACATTAAAATATATTTAAAACTCATCAATAAATAAACATTAGCTGCCTACACCGGACTTTATCATTACGGACATAATTTAATTAATTCAAAAAGCGTAAATTATTATTAATCACCACCGCCATTTTGTAGGCGGGTATTAAAAACGTAAAGTCGTAAATTAAATTATAATCCCCTGGATGTCGGGGAAATCATTCATTTTTCCAAATCGCCTTTGATTTAAGGAAAGTCGCAATTTAAAAAATAATAATATAGGTTAGCTTTGAAGTTAAATGACTGACCGCCGAGCGAGAGGTTTCGAGTTCGGTTCTCGGGCCGTGCTAAATGTTATTGAAGCTTTGATATTAGACGACCTTGTTAGACAAGCAAGGTAGGTAACGGGTTCGACTTCCGGGTTGTGTAAAGTAGATATTAAAAAGTTTTTTTTGGGTTATCGAAATGTTCTCAGTAACAACACGAAGTCTTGAATAGAAATAACTCATGTTTATCCATATAGCCAAACTGATAAAAAATATACACCCAAAAGAAATTCGAAAATTGTGGCTGTTTGCAATAACCACCCCTAAAGCATCTCTTCTCTAAGTGTTACTTAGCGTGCAGGATCACCTAAACTTATCTGTTACTTGAACGTTGGTGAAAACCAAAATGTCATTAAGTGTCACCTATGTTAACTTAGAATTTCCTTAAGATTTAAGAGATTAGTGGAAACGGGCATTGAATAAGTCAACGATATATAAAATATGACCATCAAGGGAAATTCAAAATGGACGAATATTCAGAAATAAGCATCGGTCAGCATATTTCAAATCCAGTTCCCAAATCGTATTGAATCTAATATGGCGGAAGATTTTGCAGATAAAAGAGTTTTCTACTACTGAAATGTTATATGAATTTCCGTTTAGTTTAGTGAACTATATAATTTCGTTATTTCATACATATTTGAATGACTATTAGTTATATAGATTGGTAAATTAATACTTTTGAATATGTTTTGGTAATCGTCAGTGTTGTTAACTTCATTTATCTAATGTTGCTGTGCCCTTACGGGGTCCATAAATGTAACATAGGTTTAAGCGTATTGTAATATCTTATTCACTTTATGGATATGAATAAGTGTGGGAGAGCCATGCTTCAATACGAATGGGCTGGCTCGACCGGAGTGGTACCACGGCCTCACAAGAATCCGACGTGAAATAACGCTTGCATTGTATTTTGCCGTGTGAGGGAGGATACCGGAGGCCAAATTATGCCTCTCCCCAATAATCCTCAGATTCCCAATCCCCAAACGGCCTGTAACGCCTCTGGTGTTTCGGGTGTCCATGGGCGGCGCAGATTGCTTACTATCATGTTATCCATCTGCTCGTTTACCGGCTTATTCAATAAAACAGAATAAACAATTGTATGTGTGCACTTTAGAGATAATAAAGTGTGCTATCTTTATGCAATAGGGGCAAACGAAAACACAGAAGAAGGACTACACCGGTTCTCGAAAGGCCGCCCACGAACACCCGCAACACCAGAGGAATCAGAAGTGCGTTGTCGGCCGGCTTTTGTCAAAAAACTCATCAACATAAAGTCCTATTGGAGCTGAGTGCCGTGACAAAAAATATGATAGATCGCAACAACGTCTACTAAAGTCAAAGTCATAGTATTTATTTCAATTAAACCATAATTTGGTACTTTTGAAACGTCAACAAATACGAAATAAATAATAGTCAGTCAGTCCGTCTGTCAGTCTGTCCGTCAGTGAAGCTAGGTACTACCTAACTGTTTTTCATATTGAATTGAATTTGCGCTTCCTATAACAAATGAAATTCGCCTTCCGATCTTCAAAACACCTTTACAATCAAATCATCGCTTTACTTTTACAAACAAACAACACATCATCGTATTTGTAACTACAATCCCAATAGATGGTAAGACAAACAATCTCCAATTAATCTCCAACTTCAAACAACCTTATCTCCACTTTCACGGGATATTTTTCATGGTAGTAAGTTTTGTGTGAAGTTGAATATTATAATGTAATTGTAACCGAACTCGAACCGGTACCTGCCACCAACATTTATATACAGATACACTTTTCGAAAGTAAACCATGAGCTGAAGCGATTTTGTGGTAGAATAAATTCTTTAAAAAAATATTTAATGAATCTTCTTGTGTATTTTTATAATAACTATCGTGAGACATGCTAAAACATATGCCAGTAAACTGCAAGACATCACCACGACCGCGCACGTTGCTCAGGAAGAGTCCCTCTGTGACTCGCGACTAGTAGAGCTTTTCTCAATATATTTACGTTACTAACTCGTCATTTTTAGTTAGTCTTTTGTTTAATTCTTATTAGCTAAGCACAATAATTTCTAATTATAAGTTTGAAATCGCCAACCCGCATTGAGCAAGCGTGGTGATTAATGTGCAAACCTTCTTTGTGCGAGATGAGGTCTTTACTCAGCAGTGGTTACTTATAGGCTGTTGATAATGATGATACTCAAGCTAGCTATTATTATAGTTGAAAATTAAATTTCTAAAAATAGTTACGTCAGCAATGGACTTTAATCGCTAGTGACTCCATCTATCTAGCGATAAAATTACTTTAAGTCACGATTGGTCATTATATTCAATTAAAACTAGATTGTCATTACCCATTAGAAGTAACTTTACGCTACCTAGTCCTAAAAATAGAGGCGTGTTTATAAAAATAAACTACATTTTTGATCTCAAATAAACTGAACCTACACACTAATCAAAACATGAAACTTCAAAGAATTTTTGTAATCTCAAGTCCCACTTATCCACCATTTTGAAGCACCAGAAACTATTTTCTAAATATACATCTAAATGGGTGTGAAGATGTTACCGTGGCCGTGGGCGTGGACACCGCTGCCCACTTGTGACTTGCGGTTGTAAGCGGATATTGTTGTCTGACAAGCGACGCTACACAAAGGTGGGAAACCGACTTTGTTGCGGTCTGTGTGGCATTTGAATTGGTTTTGTGTTGCCAGATAAAAAAAAAACAAATAAACAGGGTAAATTACGATTTGATCAGCAATCGCACTCGATTTATTGAACTCGATAAAACACTCCTTTTCATAAGATCAAATTTAATAGAATTGTATATTAAGTAGTTCAAAATATAAGCCCATATTTTTATATATCATTCTGTCCTTATCACACTCCAATCAAATTATAAATGCAAGAGAGAGATGGTGACAGAATTTAAGCTACATCTTCATAAATCTTCATCTAGTTACGATATGAATGAACACACTTCTGTAATAACTTAAAAAGTAATTATTTAGCAAGGAAAATATTTGGAAGTACTTTTTTAATTAAATTTTAGAGACTAGCATTACTTTTCTTGTTGATATTCTAGGTACTTTTAATGATATATCAAATACAGATAATATCTGTGTAAAACTTTGAAGACAAACATCAACTTGTTTAACCAAGTTTTAGTCTAAAATTATTTACGGATAAATATCTAGGCAAGAATTTTCATAATATATACAGATCCTAGATATTTCATCATAATTCACACATCAACAGCCTATAAGTATCCACTGCTGAGCAAAACCTCTTCTCGCATGGAGAAGGTTTGAGCATTAATCGATTAAGCGATTTAAAACTTATAATTAGGAATTATAAGTCCAAGTTTCCACACAATGTTTTACTTGACCGTTTGTCAGTGGTGTCTAGATAATCTTAGAAAGTACATATAACTCGGAAAAGTCACATTGGTACTTGCCGTTGGTAGGTTTTGAACTCGGATCCACATAAGCATGCATGCATGAGAAGCGGGCGTTTTAAACCTCCGGGCCACCACGACATTAACCTCATGAAAACATTATCCTCACATAACAAAACGAGGTATATACTGCAATATGAATATACACACGTCACATCCTATCAATATTCCGAATATAACAGATTTTTGGTACATGGAGTATACCCCGTTGCCATGGTAACGGGGCTGGGTAGATTCTAACAATAAA